CCCCGCGCCCCCCGCCACCTCCCCGAGCCCCCCACCTGCCCCGACCCTCGGAACCCGACCCCCGGCCCCCACAGCCGCCCTTGGGCGCTGCTCCCTGCTCTGGCTTAAAAAGCCGCGCTCCCCCCCCTCCTCCCCTCCCCCCCAGCGTTATTTTTAACCGGGCCGATCGCAGCGATCCCGTTTCCAGCGCGGCCCCGAGGCCGGGAACGGGCGGCCGGGATTACCGGGGATGGGGCCGGGAATAGATACCGGCCGCACCGGGGGGTGCTGCCCCCACGGGGAGCCCCCAGCCCCCAGGACCGGAGCCGTGGGGCCCCGGGAGCCGCTCGCCCCCCCCGGCCGCAGCCCCGCAGCGTCACGAGGCCGGGCCGGGCCCTACCGGGCGCCCCCGGTGCTGCCCCGCCGCGGGCCGCGGCCTCGCCCCGCTCCCAGCCCCGGCAGCGCCTCGGGCCCTCCCCCGGTAGCCGGGGAGAAGCGGGGGGGGGGGGGGGGGGCTCCGGTAGCACCCGGGGAGCCCCCGCGGCTCCGTGGGGCGGCTCGGGAAGGACGCGGAGGGGGCCGGGGGCAGCCCCCGGGCCCCGCAGCGCTGCGGCCTAACGCGGCCCCGGGCACCGGGCGGGCACCGGGCAGCCCCCGGCCGGGCCCCGCGGCACCGAGCAGCGCCCGCGGGGCTGCAGCGGGGCCGGGAGGGGCGGCACCGGGCGCCCCCCCCCCTCCTCCACCACCGCCGCCGCCGCCCCCCCCCCCTCGTACCGGGCCCCTCCCGGGGGCGGCGGCGGGGCGGGGCCGCCGGGCTGCGGGCAGGGGGCGCCCGGTGGGGCCGAGGGGGTTGGGGGGGGGGGGGGCCGGTACCGGAGGCCGCCCTGCACCTGCCCGGCCGCGGCACCGCACCGGGGGCTGCCACGGAGGACGGAGGGGAGGGACGGAGAGGAGGGGAGGGGAGGGGGGGGCACCGGGGGTCGTCCGGGCCCGGCCGGGCCTCACCTGCACGGCGGCCTCCAGCTTGCCCTCGAAGGTGAAGTCGATGAGGTCGGGCTTGAGGCACAGCCCGTAGTTGAGGGGGCAGACATCGGCGGGGAGCCGCTCGAAGGGCCGCTTCTCCGGCATGGCGGGGCGGGCGGCGGGGCTGCGCCCCCCCGCGGCGGGGCGGCGGGCGGGGGGGGGGGGGACGAGGAGGAGGAGGAGGAGAGGAGGAAGAAGAGGAGAGAGGAGGAGGGGAGGGGGAGGCGGGCGAGCAGCGGCAGCCGCGGGGGTTCCGAGCGGCGACGCGGCGGCCCCGCACCGACACGGGCGGGAGGGAGGGCGGGAGGGAGGGGCGGGGGCGCGCGCGCGCGCTCCCGGCACGAGGCGGCCCCGGGAGGGGAGGGGAGGGGGGAGGAGGAGGAGGAGGAGGAGGAGGAGGAGGAGGGGGAGGGACGGGGGCCGCGCGTGCGCGTGAGCGCGCGGGGCGCCACGCGGCCGCGCACGTAGCGCGGAGCGAGCGCGTTGCGTAAGCAGCGGGGGCCGCGGGGCCCTCCCGGGGGTCCCGGGCCTGGCTCTTGGCTCCGCGCGGGCCCGGTTCCCGCCGCCCCCGCCCGTCCCCGCTGCCGGTGGCCGCCCCCCGGGGCAGGCCCTCAGCACCAGGGCCCCCGTGGAGAGGTGGGGGCCAGCCCCGGTGCCGCCGATCCCTGGTTACGGAACCGTGGGAGCGGCTGGGAAACGGCCCCGGGGCCTGCAGCAAAGCCCGGGAACGGCGAGGGGCGAGGAGCGGCGCTGCCCTCGGGCCTGCCCGGGCAGCTGCAGGGCGCGGGGCTGCTCCCGGCCCTCGCCTCCTCCTCCTCCTCCTCCTGCTCCCTGGGCCTGAGCTGCAGCAGGGGGAGAAGCAGAGCTGGGTGCTGCGGGGCTCCCCCCCAAAAAAATAATAAATAAATAAAAAAAAAGGGGGGCTCAAGGTGCTCACAGAACCCTTCCTGGCCAAACTCATGCTCGCTCATTCCCATTTCATGCTCCCAACCATAAAAAGCCTCAGGCTGTAGAGCAGAGGGGAGCTGCTGGGCCCTGCCCTGAGCTGCGGGGAGCTGCTGCCCACCCCGGGGGATCACAGACCCTCAGGGCCCGGCCGCGCTGCTGGGGTCTGTGGAAGATGCTATGTCAGGAATCTGCCTTCAAAAGCTGCGCACACAGCACAGCGAGCGGGATTTACGGGGCAATAAATGTCCCAAGTGGGTGATGGTGGAGGGCGGCTGGCTTTCGTGACAAACGCCAGCAGGAAGTTTAAAAATTCTTAATAAAGGCTTTATATGGGAAAAAAAGAAGGGCAAAAAATCGAATTCCTCGGGAGGAGCGGTGCTGCCCTGGAGGCCCAGCCCTGCCCTCGCACCCAGCCCTGCTTGGGCTCTGGGTGGGAGCCGCGGCTCGGGGTTCAGCTCTGCCGGGAACCCGGCTCGGGGCGCTGACCTACTTCAGCCCCGCGCCGCGGCTCTGCCGGGGCCACAACCTCACAACCTCCCTCGCGTTAGGAAGGAAGCACGGCTTGCTGGGGCAGGAAAGCATTTGGCTGTTAATTGCTTTCTGCCGCTGGATATCACAGTTGCTCCTTTTCTTCTCCTTCCCCCCCTCCAAAAAAAAAAAAAAAAAGATTTATTTTCGCTAAAAGTGACATCTCGCTGTTTAAAATATAAGCTAGCGCCAAGCAGGGAGAGGGTGGGGATTTGCTGAGACCTGGAGGAGTCTGCGGCACGAACTGGGGCATGGAGAAAGTACAGACGGATCTTAGCACATCATTATAAAAACCAAGCAGCTGATGAGCGTGGGTTCAGCTGGGGCTTCTCGGGGCCGCATTGTGCTACAGTGCCCCGAGGAGAGGGAAGGAGACAGCGGGAAGCAGCTGGAGCCGTGCGGGGCTTTGGGAAGCTCTGCAGGGCTCCGGGTGCCACCACCCTCCCCGGCTCCTCCGATGCCTTTGAGCATTGCCACCGTCCGCGGGGACACACGGACAGGGGCAGGGCGGTGGGACAGACGGCACCCCGGCCGGCAGGAGAGACCTGGCGGGGCAGGACGGCTTCTCCCCGTGCTCCTCTCCCCAGGGCCAGCAGCGGGATGAAGGCAGGAGGGCGGTGGGGGGGATGTCTGGGGGCTGTGCCCCCCACCCCGTGCCGCTCGGTGCTGCTGCTCGTGTGCCGGCCGAGCCTCGCCGCACCCCCGGGGCTCCCTGCCGCGGCGGCTGGCCCGCGCTGCTGCATTGTTCGGTGACAGATGCTGCTGTCAGCAAGAATCACGAAGGAAAGAAAGGAGGAGAGGAGGAGGAGAGCCTCCGAGGAGACGCCCGGGGACGCTGCCGCCTCTGCCGTGTCCCGAGCAAACCGGGCTCGGGGGGGCCTGGGGCCGAGCGGACGCGGTGGCTGCCAGGGGCTGTGATGAGCCCGGATCCTGCGGCCACAAATTGCTGTCAGTGCACTGGCTTAATTAGGGGAACAAGGGAAAGAGGGAAAAAAAGGAAAAAAAAAATAAAATAAAAGAATAAAAGAAAGATCCTGGAGAGCCTTTTCTTTTCTTCTCTTTTCGCATGGGTTTTTGGTGTCCCTGTGAGAGCGGGAGCAGCCGCAGGGCAGGGGCTAATCCTGCCTCGCAGGTCCAGCCACGGCTTAGGGCAGGAATCCGAGGTATTTGGGGGCAGGGGACGGCGCTGGGGGCTGCGGGCGGCTCCGGGGCTGCCCCCAGCACGAGGCCAGTGGCAGGAGGGGCTGGCAGCGATGGCGGTGGGTTGCGTGCCGGCCTGCCCACTGCCCTGCCCGCTGCCCCCCCTGCACCCCACAGCCCCGGGGCGCGTTGCACAAGCTCCTCTGTGGGGCAGGGACAACACCAACGGGGCCAAAGCCCTGCCTGGAGGACGGCGCGGCCTCCTCACGCTGCTCGGGGCCTGCCAGAGCCCAGCAAAGGCCCCGACGGGGCAAAATGGGGGAGTTCTGCAAATGGGGGGGGGCAGCACAGGGCCACCGTCAGGGTGGTGGCCCCTGGAGATGCCACCAGCCTCGCTGGAGCCGGTCCCTGTCCCCTGGCTGCTGTAAGAGCCCCCCAGTGGCACCCCACCCCCCCCCTGCACCCCGTCCCTGGCCCCTACTGGGGGGGCCAGGCCCCGATAGCGGCGTGGGCTGGGATCAAGGGTCCCGGGCACAGCAGGGCCCTCACCACACATTAACCAGCCTGTCCGGCGGGGGGGCTCGATCCCAGGCCAAAATCAACAGTCCCAGGGCTGGGAGCACGGCGGGGGGGGTGAGCGCAGCCCTGAGCCTTCCACCCCCCCCCCCCCCGCAGCCCCATCCTTTGCTCCCCACTGCCCTGGGGTCTGCGACACGGACCCGGGCTGGGCCGAGCCGAGCTGGGGGGGGCGGACAGGGGCTGAGCCCCCCCAGCACCATCCCTTGCATCCCCTTGGGGGGTTGCGTGGGGGCCCTGCGGGCACTGGGCACAAATGGAGCCCCCACAGCCCCCCCCCCCGTCCCTGACCCCCCCCCCCCCCCCGGCAGGCAGCCCCCCACCTCCAGGCAGATATGGATGGATGGAGGGGCCGGGGGGGGGGGGGGACAGAACCGGGGGGGTGCACACAGGGACATCAAGGACATCGCATGGGGGGGCTGCACGGCGCAATGGGGAGTGCACTGCTGCCCCCCCCCCGTGCTGCAGGGGGGCTCCTGCACGTTTGCAGCGGTGCACGGGCGGGGGGGGTGAATAGGGGGGGGGCTGCTCCCCGTGCACGGTGCATGGGGGGGCAATGGGGGGGGGCTGCTCCCAGTGCACGCCGCAGGGCGCTGCAATGAGGGTGGGCGCCGCGCCCCCCCCGTGCTGCAGGGGGGGGGGCTCCCGCCCCGTGCACGCGCACCCCGCTGCGTCACGCCCCCTCCCCCCGCCCCCCCCTCACCCCCGGGGGGGGGAGCCTCCCCCACCCCCCCAGCCCCGCCCCCCCCCCCGCAGCCGATGGAATTTTCCACTCGCGGCCGCGCGGGCTCCCGACGGCCCCGCCCCCTCCGCGCGCCACCGCCAGGCCCCGCCCCCTCCCCCTTCAAGCCCCTCCCCCTCCTTCCCGTCGGGCAGTGCGGCGCCAAGATGGCGGCCGCCATGAGGGTGGCGGGCCTGGGGCTGCTGGGCCGGCGGGTGCGGGGCGCCGGGGGCGGCGGGGACGGGAAGGGAAAGGCCCGGGGGGGAAGGGCCGGGGGCTGGGGGGAGGCTCCCGCTCCGGGCACGGTCCCGGGGGGGCGTTGGGCGCGGTGCCGGCGGCTCCGGAGGCGTGAGGGGCCGGCCGTTAACGCTTGGCCTCCCGTTCCTTTCCGCTAGGCCTCGGCTCTGCGCCCCCCCGGGGCCGCCCCTCCGTGCCTCGCCGTGCCCGTGCGCACCAAGCGGCGGCTGTTCGTGCCCGACTGGGCCCGGGAGCTGTCCCCGGCCGAGAGGGAGAGCCGGCTGCGCGCCGCCGCCAGGGCGCTGCCCGAGGACCGCCTGGAGCGCGCCTTCTTCCTGGCCTGCACAGGTACCGCGGGGCGCTCCCCCCCCCCCACCGGGGCCGGTTCCCGAGGGGCGATCCCGTAGAGGGAGGCAGCCCCCCTGCTGCAGGTTCCGTCCCCTGCTCTGCCCCGTGTGGGTGGTGGCAGCGGCCCTGCTGCTCTCGGCTGTGTGTGGGGCTGTCGGCCCCTTCGCGCCCCAGGACCAGCCATGGGAGGCCGTGCTCCCTGCGGCTGGGTGCCTTGTCCCCGTATCCTGGGGCTGTGTGGGAGAGGAGGAGAGCAGGTGGTCTGACACAGCTTGTCTGCAGTGAGAGGTGCCCCTGTCATTTGTAGCCACACTCTTATTTCATCCTAAAGGTGTTTTCAGGGAGGAATCCTTCTCCAGCAGCCAGGGTGCTGCCTCTCTGTTACCTTCATCATGCAGCATTTGGCAGTTTTTGAGCCTCCCGACCTCTCTTCTCTGTCTTGCAGCTGATATTATAGACCCTTATGTCCCCCCTGAGGGTGATGCCCGCATGTCTTCCCTATCCAAAGATGGGCTGAAGCAAAGGGTGGAGAAGCTGAAGCAGACCGCTGCCTCCCAGCTAGCGTATGTACCTTCCTTTTAATTAGCCTGTGGTGTTGAAGCCTTGCCCAGTTCTGTCTCACAGTGGTGAGGTGGTGTGTTAGTTTATAACACTGCTGCTCTTGTACCACTTAACCAACCCTCCTTGGTGTGAGAGGGAATGCACAGCGTCTGTCCTGGCACGAAGGGGTGCAATGTGTACTCATATTCCCTGGGTTCTTTGGGTTTGCAGCAGTACGTCCCTCTTAGAGCACCTAGAGATTGTGTCAGTGGGGGGGGAGTCTCTGGTTCCCAGTTGCTCCCTGGGAAAAGCGGCTCTTGAACTGGATAAGATTCTCACCTGAAACACTGAAGTGTTTTTTAATTGCTGCAGAGCTTTCTTTTTTTCTTTATCTTCAGTCTGCGGAAGGTAAAGGATCATGTTCCGGATTTCAGCACAAAAACCTTCCCAGAGAAGGCACAGGAGATATTCATTGAAGCTCACAACTGCCTGGCAAAGTAAGACCTGGTCTCTGACTGATGTGGTTATGCAGGACTGGCTTCTTTTTGCTTATATGCTCTGGTTTTCTTCCTTATCTTTCTAATCCTTGTGCCTCCTCTGCAACGAGTACTTCCTTCTGCTGCCCCCAGCTCTCTGAAGAGGAGGTGGCATTGGAGTTTTGGGAATCAGTGCTATTAGCAGCTGAGCTGGTAGTTGCTGCTGTTCCGCATCATGCCGTGGGGAATGGTTTGGAGGTTGAAATGATGCTCCCCTGACTTGCTCTGCTTTGTAGAAGTGGAACAGATTTCAGAAATGCATCATTTTTGGTTACAATTCCAAACATCAGTAGAACACTTAGACCATAACTAGCCTCCAAGGGATGCTGCCATGTCTTTCCCCGAAGTCTTGCCAGCCAGCTACCATTCAGGTTCTGATTCTGTGTTAAGATCACAGCTGAGAATCTCGTTTTTCTGCTTTGCGGGTGGGTTATAAATCTTCTGGAGAAGCAGGAATTTGTGAGTAAGCCTCTTTACAATAAGTGTATTTGAGTAACTGGGTGTGTTTCACTTGCAGTTTTAACAAGCAGAAACTTCACTCCCTGGTGACAGAGCGCTGCTACCCGGTAAGTTTATCTGGGCGTTAGTGTGTCCTTGGTTGGGTTTAGAGAGCCTTAAAGAGTGTGGAAGGGTTGACAAATTGTCTCTTTTCTTTTTTCCCCACCCGAATACAATAAAGACAGTGGGGAGACAAAGCACGAGTTTAAGGAACAGCTAACGAACGAGTGCCTCGTTACATGCAGGAGTTTGCTTGTTCAGTTCACATCCCAATGAAGTTGGTGCCAACTTATTTGTCCTTTTCAGGACATGGTCCGTGGCAACAGGTACAAGACCATCCGGTGGAGTTTTGTGGAGTCTCTGGAGCCTCCGAGAGTGGTCCACATTCGGTGCAACAGCATGGTGAACCCCAGTAACCTGTACGGCCAGGTGACGGTGCGGATGCACACACGGCAGGTACGTCCCCCTGCCCCCTTGTGTCTCCTGACTGACTCCAGCCCGGGGCCAGCCCAGCGTGTTTCCTGGCTCTGTTACAGACCCTGGCTGTCTATGACCGGTTTGGGCGGCTGATGTACGGCGGGGAGCAGGTGCCCAAGGATGTTCTGGAGTACGTCGTATTTGAGAGGTATTTGGTCAACCCCTACGGCACATGGAGGATGCACGGCAAGATTGTTCCAGAGTGGGCTCCACCAAAGGACCCCATCATTAAGGTAATGCCACCAAGGGCAGACACCAGCTTGGCCTGTGGCTTTGAAACATAAGTTGCTAGCTAATTTTGGACAAAACCAGAGCTGAGCTTCCTGTACTGGGCTGGTGGTGCATTTATTTGCAAGCAGTCCCATTTATTACCGTGGGATTATCAGCCTCTAGCATCTCTCACGGTGGCTAGTGAATGTTACAACTGCTAGGCACTGGGTTTAGTCCCAGGAGGGTTTTAAGCCATCTGATTGCTCCTGTACCTAGCCTAATTTTCAGGGGTAACAGGACTGAAGTCTGTAGGGTGTTTTGAGATCTCTGTCTGGAAAATACAGAGAGGTAAAATACATATTCTAGGGTAACCTGGAAGATGTAGTAGCAGACCAATGGTATTTGACAGGTAAGTGATAATTCAGGGCTTCACTGCTCCCTGTACTGCACCTGGCAAACTGAGGCAGGTGCTCTGCCCTCCTGTGTGACAAAACAGGTCCTGGAGAGGCAGGAGGTGAGAAGTGCAGTGTGGTACAATGTGGGTAGTACCATTCCCTGCTCTGTCCTCCCTCCTGCTGCTGCCATCTGGTCATCTTCCTGTGCACTGCCACCACCTCCTGGTCACCCTTTCTCATGCTCTCGTTACAACAGTTCTGAGCTGCTCCACGTTGTGCTGATTTCTGTCCTTGCTGTTGCAGACGGTGATGATTCCCGGCCCAGCCTTGGATTCTTCACAAGAGATTAAAGAACATAAAGAAGAAACTTCAGAGCAAGTACAGAGGCAGCAGTAAGAACAACCCTGAAGGAACAAAACGGAGAATGTCTGTGGAGGGAGCTGGCTGGGTGTAGCTGTGCTTTTCAACAAAGCAGCTTCAGGAACGGACTCCGCTCACTAAGAAATCGCCTTGAAAGGAGGGAAACGGAAGTGGGAGAGGATTCAGATGAGCTCTAAGAGCTTTCCTCTGTCCAGATAGACTGTGCTGTGTCTTAACCTTCTCTATGTAGTAGGTATTGGTACAGCAGTAACTATTGGTGCAGCAAGCACACTTTAAATCAGGTTCTCCTGAGTGGGTCCTGCTGAATGGGTGCTTGTTAACGGCCAAGCTGTAGCACAGCACTGATAATTTAATAAATTTTTTTGACTCCTGAGGTCAGTGTTTGTGTCAATTCATGTCAAAAGGCAGCATTTCTCATAGCAGATGGGTTTTGGTGCACTTGTTCCAAGTGCTCTCAAGTTCAGCAATGGGCTGTTGTTAATGAGCAGCTGGCACCATCCTGTGGACACGATGACATTCACATCGGGCCCTCTGGTTTAGCAGGCTGTGTGAGTCCAGAAACATACCCAGGGGTTACCTTTTTCCACAGCTGCAAGTAAGGCAGTGCGCTGCTGATCTGTTCTTGCTTTGCTCAGGTAGCTTCTGTTTGCACCTAGTCACAAAGCAGCAAATTCACTGGTCATCAGATAACAGCATTTCCTTTTCCAGCCTCGTACTGCTTTTTAATTCAGCCGTTTTCAAGAGCTTGTGAGAGTTGAGTGCATTTTTTTCTTCCTTGAGACAGATTTTACAGAGCACGCAGTAAGATTTATGGCTCCTTATGCTTGCAGAGTTGTTCAGTGTTGCTTGTGAATGATGTTCCTTTGAAAGGGCAGAATCCCATCTCTGTGCTCAGTTAGGAGAGGAGCCAGCGATGGAATCCCTTTCATCTTTTTGGAAGTCAGAGGGGTGTCACAATCTGTCTGCCTTTCCTGCAGGAACCTACTATATCGAGCCTTCTGCCTACGCTTCATTCATGAGCTGGAGAGAGATTCAGTGCTCCAGCATATGTGAGCTGGGGTAGGAACAAAAATAAACGAGCGAGCTGCCTGGTCTGTGTCTGCTGTGACTAAGGCAGTGTAGAAGCGGGTGCGGCTGTGACTGCTCAGCCGCTTCCTACGGCCACGGTTCTTCAGCTCAGGCTCTGAATTAGAGGAGTGTTCTCTGGCAGTGGCTGCTTTTTTGGGAGAACAGCATTTAATTCCAGTGTAGCTCCCCCTCTCCTGTGCCAACCTCTCTGACTACACTGCTGCTGTTCCTGGGTGTCCTTTGTGGCCTCGCTGCTTTCTGTTGTAGCTCTTCCTTAGATGTATTCCGTACGTTGCCCACAGCCCATAAATCAGCCGAGCGTGCACGCCGAGGATAACTTTATTTTCTGTATGTACACTTACTTACACACTGCGTGACTTTGACGTTCGGCACTGAGGATCACAGCACACAACAGCGACGCCACTTTAAGGAGAGAGGAGGCAAACGGAGGGACAGCAGGACAAGCCCTGAGCCCCAGCCTTGCAGGGAGAGCAGAGAGAACAGAAGTGTTTGCTTTTGTGCCTCTGGTTTTGCTTTGCTTCCACTCAAATGGAGCAGAGGAACAAACCTGGGGAGACGGCTGTGCTGTGCTGCCCGGGGGGAGCAGGGGGGAGCGGGACCTGCACAGCCCGCAGCGTGCAGCCCAGCTCTTCTCCTGGTGATGGGATCAGCCCTGCCTCGTGCCCTGGAGGTCGTGGTGCCCCCATGGCATCAGCACCTTCCCTGTCTTACAGGACCTGGTTTCCATCTCTGCCCACAAAAGGGGTGTGAATACAGCAAGAAATTGAAACGGGGGATGATAAAGGCACCCCAGCTTCCTACAGGAGGGCAGTAAAAGTGAAGGCTGGGGAGTGCCAGCGGAAAGGGTGATGGAAAATCCCCCCTGCGATGGGAAGGCGAGCTCTGGGCATTGCACACGTGTGTACAAGAGACGTAGCCAGCAATAACGAAGTGCTTTGCAGAGTTAGTGGCGTAATTAGTTAAGACAAACACTTCTGGGGAGCTGTTCTCCTCCCCAGGGGCACCGTGGCTGCCCTGGGCTCACGATGACCTGCTCCAGCGTGCAGGGGCTGCCGGCTCCCCCCGCTCTGAATTCCCGTGGTGCTCGGGAGCCCAGACCCCTGCTGAAGGCAGCCCTGGGCTGTCCCCAGCCCTGGGTTTTGGGTCCCCATGCGGGCAGGTGGCGGGATTCAGCTCAGGACTTTCCCTGCACAACCGCTGCCAGCTGGGGCAGGCGAGCTACTCGTGGTCCCACGGGCAGACATCGGGGCTGCTTTGCCTCGTGCCCCCCTCTCTGAGCCCACGGGGGCTCGGGCTGGGGTCTGTGCTGTCCCCCTCCCACGGGCACACCGTGGGCGCTTTCTGGCTTTCGCTGCTGGGGGCTGGGGGGGCCTCCTCTGCCTCCCAGGGACAAACCTCGGCCACGCTGGCACCAGGGCTGGGGCTGCTGCTGGCCACGTGTGCTTGCCGAGGGAGCCCCGCAGCTGCCCGCAGGGGCTGGGAGCCCGGCAGGACGCGGCGCAGGGGCTTGTGCTCAGCCTGGCCCCCAGAGCAGCCCCCGGCCTTCGGTAGGGTTGGTGGAGACGTGGCCACCGGCTTCGGGTCCCCGTTCCCAGCGGGGGCTGCTCCATCAGCTCCCAGTTTGGGTGTGGGGATCTGCAGGGCCTCGGGCTCTGCTGCTTCCCAGGGACAGATGTCGGCTCTCCGGCTCTCCGAGCTGTCCCACTTCTTGGACGCCTCTCTCCCCGTCCCAGCTTTTTGGGGGGGCTCCCCCGTGCCCAGGCTCTCCCAGGGGCACACGGCCTCTCGCTCGCTGCTCCCCTTCTCCACCGCCTTGGAGGCTCCCCGGTGTTGGGGCCGGGGTCTCGCCTCCCCCGGGGCTGCCCCAGTTCTCTCAGAGGAGGCTCCTTTCCCTGGCAGAGCTGCAGCCACCTCCCAGGGGCAGATTTCAGCTTTATCCCCGGCTCCCAGCCCCTGAGCCTCCCAGGGACAGATCTCCGTGCTCAGGGCTCTCCCTTGGGGCAGCGCTGGGCTCCCCAAACCCGGGCTGTCCCAGGGACAGACCTCGGCCACGCTGCTCCCGGTGCTCCCCGGTTTGGTGGGGGCAGCTTTCGGCAGCTCTGGGCTCTTCGTGCCCCCCATGCTCTCCCAGGGGCAGACGGCCTCACGGTCCCAGCTTTTTGGGCTGTCTCCGGTCTCCTTCAAGCCACCTCGCTCCGTGGAGGTGTTCCTGCTCCCTCCAGGCCGACCGCCTCCGTCCTGCCTCAGTTTCCCTTTATCCGAGGGGACAGCGGCCACCTCCCAGGGGCAGATCTCGGCTTTACCCCCAGCCCCCAGCCCCTGAGCCTCCCAAGGGCAGACCTCCGCCTTCGGGCTCTCGGTGCTCTGAGCCTCCCTCGCTGCGGGCAGCGCTGGGACCCCCACGCGGGGTTTTGGGGGGTCCCAGGGGCTCACAGCGTCGCTGCCACCCCCCTGCAGGGACCTGGCCGGGCTGCCCAGCGCTGCCTGGCGCCTGATGCGCTTCTCCCCCCGCGGGCCTGCCCTCAGGGCCTGCTCTGCCCTTGGCTGCTCCCCGAGGGGGGCTGCAGCCACCCCCCAGGGGCAGATTTCTGCCTTCGGGCTCTCCGTGCTCTGGGATTGCTTTGCCTCAGCTCTCGGCCCCTCCAGGCTCTTCCCAAAGAGCTCAGCAGAGATCTGGGTGTCCCTGCGAGCCGCCCGACCCCCCTCCCCGGCCAGCTTTGCTTTGCTGCCCTCGGGTTCCCCCGATTTGGGTTTGGTGGCTGCCGGGGGAGCCCCACGTGGGTCCTGGCTCCCCCTTCCCTTCCCCTGCGGAGCCGCGGACACTTCCCAAGGGCAAATTTCTGCTTTAGCCAGCGGCTCCTCCTCGGCTTCCCACGGGCAGACGTCGGCCTTCAGGCTGCCAACGTTTCCAGCTTGGGTCGATGAGGGGCACACCGAGGCCCTCGCGCTCTCCGGGCTCTCGGAGGTGACTTTTGGCAGGTCCGAGCTGTGGGGAGCTGCCCGAGGGGGGGGCAGCTCGGTGCTGGCGCTGCCCCAGGGCCGGCTGGCTGCTGGCTGCCTGCCCCCCCCGTCCTGCGCCCTCAGCAGACCCAGGGACCGGGGCCGGATGCTGCTGCCCCCCCTGGGCAGCCTCCCCCCGTCCTGCTGCACCTTCCCCTTCTCCGGCTGGGGCTCCCCCACCTCCCAGGGGCAAATTTCTGCCCTGGGGGCCGGCCCCCCCTCCGCACTCTCCCACGGACAGACCTCGGCCGTCCTGCCCCCCCCGCTGCCCGCTGTCCCTGGGGCCGCTGCCGGCAGCTCTGGGGGCTTTTCCCCCAGCTCTGCCCCAGGCCCAACGCTGCCAGGACCCCCATGGGGGGGCCCAGCCTCACCCCCGCTCCCCTCCCAGGGGCAGATCTCTGTCCTAAGGCCACCACCCGCCCGGGCCACCTCCGTGCTCCTGCTCCTCGCGGGGAGCCCCTCGGTGCCGCGTCCCTCCCTGGCATTGCGGGGGCCGGGCTGGCTGCCCCCCTTCCCCAAAACCTTCTTGGGGCTTCCCCCCCCAGCAGCCGTCGCCTCCTGTAGTGCCAAAGCCCCCGGGGGGGCACCCAGGGCTTCCCAGGGACACACCTCAGCCCTCGGCCCCGCAGCAGCCGCGCTGTGCCCAGGGACCCGGGGGCCGCCTGTGCCCAGTTCCAGTGGTGGTGGTGGTGCTGGTGGTGCTGGTGGTGCTGGTGGTGGTGCTGGGGTTTGCTGGGGGTGCTCGGAGGTGTCCCCACGGCTGCTGCTGGGCGAGACCTCGTGCGTCCCCAAGGGGGTCTCCGGGACCCTGCCGGTGTCTGTGCTCCCCGGGGCAGCGCCGGGCTCCTCTCCTCCATCGCCTCCATCCGCGGCCGTGCCGTCCTCCTGTCCCTCTGCCTGTCCCCCGCTGCCCCCCCAGGCTGCGCTTTCCGACGTGGAGCCGGCGTTGTTGTTGTGCTGCCAGGGCACCGCGTCCCCCTCCTGCGGGCTGGGCTTGGGGCTTCCATTTGTGGGGCCTTGGCTGCTCCCCCCCGGAGAAAAAGTCGGTGTCCCTGCCAGCTTGGGCCTCTCCCTCCTGCTGCCCCCATCTCCATCTCGCCCCTTTTTCCTGAGGCTGCCCTCGCTCTCCTTCTTTCCTTTCAGGCTGTTTTTCCCCCTGGAGCGGTTCAGAGCCTTGATGGCCAGTCCCAGGCTCTTGAAGGTTTTCTGGGAGGGTGGCTTGAGGCTCGGGGGGGCCACCGGGGTGTCCCCAGAGGTCCCTGAGGCTGAAGGCTCGGCAGCTTTTTGCTTCCTGCTCAAAATCTCCTCCTGGATCAGCTCCCAGGGGCAAACCTCCGCGGGGATGGAGCGGGCAGACTGCAGCCGGCCCTGCCCCGCCGGGGGGTGTGCTCGCCCCGGTGTCCCCTCGGGTGGCTCTGGTGGCTCCGCTGTCTCCCTGCTGTCCCCAGCGTGGTGCACCAGGCTCTGGTACCGCACGGGGGGCGGCGGCGGGGTCTTCCTCACCGCCACCCGCACCCGCCCCGAGAGGTGGGAGCCGTCGACGCTGCTGCTCTTGGTGGGCGCGTAGGTGACGTGCTTCTGCGCCTTGCCATCCCCTGGGGGGGACGCATCACGCGAGGGACCCCCGTCGGCACGCCCAGAGCCAGCTGGCAGTGGGGCATCATCCATCCCTGGCGGCTGCAGCAGCTTGCTCAGGGGGTGCCTGCTCCATGGGGTGCCCCGTGGCCGGGCGCTGCGTGGCGCGGTGCTCAGCTCCCCGCTCAGCATCCCGCCCGCCCCGTGCCGCCCGGCTGGCCACCAGCAGGGCCTCGTCCCGCGCGCCGGCCACGACGCTGAGCGACTTCAGCAGGAGGGCGGCGCGGGGCTGGGGGGGCTGCTGGTGCCCCGACAGGTCGTGGGCGCTGGCTGACTTGCACACGAGTGGGGCGGCGTCCAGGGACTCGCTGTCCGATTGCCCCGAGCCTGCTGTGGTCACCACTGGGGTCCCCGGCACGGTGTCCCCGCTGGGGCTGGGGTCGGGGGAGCCACCCCGGGGGTCCCAGGCTGGGGTCTCGGAGCTGCGGGATTTACGCAGGGCAGCGGCGTGGTGTCGGGAGCCCCCATCCCGTGCCCGCAGGCTGGCGCTGCCGGTGCTGGGGAGCCGCTTGGCCGAGGCGCGGCAGCTGCCGGGGGTCCGGAGCCGCTCCTCACGGCTGCCCCGCGGGGCCACGGCCTCGGGCAGCTCGGCGAGGCGGCGCACGAGGGAGCGGCCCAGGCTGCGGCGGGACCCGCGCTTCTTGGGCAGGTGGGGGTTGTTGGCTGCCATCCTGCGGGTCTTCAGCACCTCCAGCTGCGCGTAGAGCTTCTTCAGCTCCTCCTGCGCGCCGCGGGATGGGGACACGGCAGAGAGAAGGGAGAGAGGAGAGCACGTACAACGGGACCGAACGGGGCCACCCTGCAATTCTCCACCTTGGTCCCCAGAGCCACGGGGCCGGGCTGTGCCCACGTCCCCCTGCTGCTGCTCTGCCCGCTGCCCGTCCCCACGAGGAGGTGGCTGCAGGGGACAGGGTGGGCTCTCCCCCCCCCAAGGCCCGTGGCCATTCGCCCTGTGCCCCCTCCCGGCCGCTGCATCCCCTTCTCCACCCTCTGCTTTGCATCAGGAGAAAGACCGCAAAAGGCAACTCTTACTCTGCGTGGGGCTGCATAGCTAGCGTCAAAAGAAGGTCCTGAGTGTGCCACCCACCCGAATGTCATCGGGGTCGAGACTGCGCTCGCTCCAGGCGGAGGCGATGCTGCTGTTGAGGCAGGAGCCCGAGCGCCGCATGTCCAGCTCGTCCTCGTAAACCTCGGCTGCGATCTCCTCCCGCAGCGGCGAGCCGGCGTGCAGGAACTGGGGGCGAGGGGCGAGCTCGCCGAGGGGCCCCGAAATCCTGGGGAGCCCCCGCCCCGTGTCCCAGACCCCCGGACAAGGGGGGAGGTGGTGTAGGGCATGGGGCAGGGCCAGGCGTTACCTTTGGGATGAAAATCAGCGCCAGGGTCATGGTGACGGTGCTGTGGGTGTGAGCGAAGAAGAGCAGCAGGGTCCAGTCGGGGTGCAGCGAGGGGACCACGACGAACCTGGAAGGGGCAGGGGGGCAGCGTGGGGGCACCCCCGGGGGGATCCCAGGGGGCAGCTGCTGGCTGCGGGGCGTTGCTGTCGGTGCTCTGCGTCACCGGGGCCAGGGATCTGTTTCCAGCCCCGTTTCCAGCCCCGTGCCCTACCTGGCCACGTGGAAGGCGGCCGAGATCATGAGCTCGTTGTGCAGCGCGATGCCCATGTAGCGGGGCTCGTGGAAGGCGGAGGGCACGGCACGCGTGGCGTAGCACAGGGAGCTGCCCCACAGCAGGAACAGCATCTCGGCTGCGGGACAGAGCAGGGGCTGAGCGCCCGGCCCCGACACCCTGCTGTGGGGACTCCTGGTGGGTTCTGCTCCCCTCTGGGCCCTCCCTGCCCTGGGTCGCATCCAGCCCAGCACATCCACCCAGGTGCATGCTGCAGATGGAGCTGGGAGAGGTGCTCAGCATCCATGGCACAGCCTGGCACTGGCAGCAGGACGTGCTGCTGCTGCTGGGCACTGCGCTGGGCACCAGGGCAGGAGCTGGGGGTGCTCAGAGGGAGGGAGGCAGCTCGGACCCCCCAGCCCTGCTGCGGGCTCGATTGGATGGATGAGGAAATTAAAACCCTGCCTGCTGTCTTAATGGGATGGGGTCCTGGGGTTACGGGGAGCAGGGAGAGGAGAGGTGCAGGCAGGGATGGCTGTGGGGGTGCCGGGGGGGTTCTGCTGGCGCTCACCGACCACCATCATGTAGTCCCAGCGGTCGTGGCCGCAGATGTAGAAGTGGAGCCCGCGGGCGGTCTGGGTGCGGACGACCAGCGGGATGTTCTTGTCGACGTTCTCCAGCATCCCCACGGTCCAGGCCGCCAGGAACCACAGCACCAGGAGCAGGATCAGCCCCAGCATCTTCAGCACCCGCCCGCTCGACATGTAGGGCACGCGCTGCGCCGTGCGGGCCAGGAACACCCTCAGCACCCTGCAAGGTGCAGGGGGGGTCAGATCCAGGCTGGGGGTCCCCGGCAGGGTCCCGGCAGCCCCCCAGTCCCGCTACCTGTACAGCTTCAGGGCGATGGTGCCGTAGACGGTGGCGAAGCCCAGCATGCGCACCCAGCGCAGCACGATGCAGCGGAAAATGCTGGGCTTGAAGTAGAGGATGAAGACCTGGGGGTGGGAAGGAGGGAGGGGGTCGGTGGTGGTGTTTGGTGCCCGCTCACCGTGACATGGGGGGGGGAAAGGGCAGGGAGGTGGGAAGCAGCGGCAGGGGGTGCCTGGCCTCCCACCTCCCCCTCGCTCCCCGGCAGCCACCGCAGACATTTTGGGAGGGAGAGGGGATTTGGGTTGGGATTAATTCTGGTGGCCAGCGGGAGAAAAGGGATTTGGTTTCCTGAGCAGGTTTATCCCGCAGCCCCCGGAGCCTGCGCCAGCACAATTAACAATTATGTGGAGCCGTGCCCGTGCCCTGCCCGGTGCCAGCTCTGCCGGATGGGTGGGACGGCAGCTCGGGGCTCGGCGCCACAGTTTTGGGGTGGGATGGGGGCTGGTGGGGGGGACAGCCCCATGCTGGGGCTCCTGGCTGTGTATTTGGGGTCTGCAGCCTAACGTGGAGCCATGGGGCCGCCTGTCCCTGGCACGCTCTGAGCATGGAGGGGGGGGTTCAGCGTGGGGCCGGGTACTCACGGGGAAGTAGAGCAGGAGGGAGCCGAAGAGGATGGTCTCCAGCAGGACGACTCCTGACGCCCGGATCCTCTGTGGGGACAGGGCCACGTGAGGGCACAGCCGGAGCCCAAGGGTGCCGGGAGGGATGGAGCCCAGGGCAGGGACACCCACCCTGGGACCCCCTCCCTCGAGAGCCCCCCGTCAGGAGGCAGCCGGGTGGGGGACACGGGGCGAGGGGAGCAGCAGCGGGGGGACCGGGTGCAGCCCCGGCGGCTCTTGCCTTGCTTCCTTCGGAAGTGGTAGGAGACCAGCATGCTGAGGAACACGGCCAGCATGCAGGAGGCCTGGCAGGACAGGATGGCCGCCCGCAGCGCCCGGTCCTCCTGGATCAGGCAGGGGGTGTCGTCCACGCAGGCTGGCGCATCCCTCGCGGCAGGGCCGGCACGCCAGCCTGGGGACCCCCATCCAGCCGGCACCACGCTCCCCGCCACGCCTGGGGATGGAGCCAGGGGGTAGGTGAGGCCCCCAAAACCCCCCTGTTGGGTATCCCAAAGCCCCCTGCAGCCGCACCTGCAGGGGCTGCAGGGTGAGAGGGGGGCTCCCAGCTGGGTGCTGCACCCACCTGCCCTGGGTGCCTGATGGCCACTCCGCCGGCCCCGTAAAAGCCCGGCTTGCACCGACACTCGTACTGCCCGAGGACGAAGCCGCGGCTCTCCTGGGGGATGCACTGGGGGAGGGAGACAGGCAGAGGTGCACGGAAGGCATCGCCCTGCACCCGTAGCGCTTCGCTGGGCTCCCCCCAGTGCCCGTGCACCCCCTGGCACCAGGGGCTCCAGCGCACCCCCGGCTCCCTGACCCCGCTGCTGTCCTCCCCCACTGCCTGGGCCTGGAAACCAGTGGTTAAACATTTAGGAATTAAAAGCCAGAGCCTGGCCCCCAAATCCCTCCCTAAAACCTAAATGGACACCTAATGCAGCACAGCGCACTAATCCGGCCGCGTGGCTGGGCCGTGACGGCAGCGGCCTGTGGCAGCCCCGCTAATCCCCCGCTGCCCAGCACCGGGGCCAGACCCTGCCCGCTGCCGCCAGGCCGGCCGGGAGCTTTTCTGGGTATTGTTGTGTGCTGGAAAGACGCCTGGCACGGATCAGGTCACAGTCCCTCCCGAGGGAATTACTTGCAGGGAGGAAAAGTGCCTGAAATAGAAGCTGGTGAGGTGCCGCCTGTGCGGGGACAGCTTTGGGACGGCGTTTCCCATAACTGGGGGCAGCGAGTTGTCACCCCATAACCCCGGCAGTGCCAGAGCCCAGCTTCATGTGGCACGAATGCTGCCCCAAACTGGGGCCCTGCAGGGCTTGATGTGAGCGGGGGCATTGCTGGGGCACCTCCTGGTGGGCACAGCCACGGGAGCGCTGAGGGCCACCCGCGGGGATGCTGCACCCATCGGCTCCCAGCCCCCAGGAGTGCCGTCCCCCGCTGCCCCCGGGTGGGCAGCAGCCGGGTCACCCCGCTGGCTCTGCTGGAAGATTTGCACAATAAACCCCGGGCAGGGTGCGAGAGCAGCTGAGCGGAGCAGATGGAGCGGCCGGCGGGGGATAAAGCTCATCCCGCAGGGAGGGACGGGCACAGGGACGGGGATGGGGACGGGGATGGGGATGGGGATGGGGATGGGGATGGTTTGGAGAGGAGCAGCCCCAGCCCCGACGGATGAGAGAACGGAGTGCCACAGTGCCCCAGGTGCTGGGACGGGTGCTGGGACCAGCAGGGTGCTGGGTGCTGGGTACCTGGGTGCTGTTGAGGTCGCAGCGGTGCGTGCCCGCGAACCAGCCCGGCCCGCTGGCGCACTGGTCGATGCCCACGTCCCGCAGCTCGATGTCCACCCGCACGACGCCCCTGTGCAGGGGGACGGGGTCAGCCCCGGGACATTGGGGAGCTGGGGGGACGCAGCTGGGGGGGGTGCTGGGAGATGGGGACACAGACCCGGGGGACACACTCGTGGTGCTGGACGTCCCCCCTTGGAGCTGGGTCTGGGGGATTCAGGGCTGGTGCATGGACAGCCGCGGGGGCCAGGGAGCAGCGCAGTGCAGGGATGTGCAAATACACACGGACACTGGTGTGCACACACGCACGAACACACAAATGCACACGCACGTGCACACGCCTGCACTCACATCCCCCCCGATGTGCACACACGCAGGCAGACACGCTCGCACCCCGGGGCTGCTGGCACACACTGCAGGGAGGAGAGCTGCCCCGCACCCCATCCTGCACCCCACACCCTGCACCCCACACCCTGCACCCCACACCCTGCTGCACACAAGTGGTGCCCCACGCCTGGGGGCGATGCCTCCTGCACCCATCACCTCCACGGGGCATCCCCCAGCCCCCTGCACCCCATCAGGCCCCCTGCACCCCGTCACCGCCGGCACCACTCACTTGAACTCGGGGCTGAGGTCCGGCTTGAGCCCGTAGAAGGCAGGAGGAGAGCGTGACGGCCCAGGTGGGCAGGAATTTCCCATCCTGGCACTCGAGGAACGGCGGCGACCACCGCACGTGGCCCGGCTCCCCCACGTAGCTGTCTCCCCGCTGCCATTTGGGGGTCTCCATGCTGCGCAGGTCGTTGCTGAGCACCCTCTTGCGGAGCTGGGGGCTGCGCTGGGCGCGCAGGGCGTTGAACCACTCGTTGTCCCAGCTGCGGTTGCCCAGGCTGGGGGCGGCGGCGGAGACGTCCCGCAGCCGGATCTCGCCCTCGCCCGCCGTAGCCTGCAGCATCAGCCGGGGCTTGGCGGCCAGCGGGTGGGCGTCGAGGGCCAGCACCGCCCGGCGCACCCAAGGGTGCCCCTCGGCCAGGCTGCGGACCAGCGCCTGGTACCACTCCACGTCCTCGGCCACGCTGGCCTCGCGGATGTCGTTGCTCTGGAAGAGCATGTTGAGGAAGTTGGCGGCCTGGGCCAGCGCCTCGGGGGCGGCACGCAGGGCGGCCCGCAGAGCCGGGGGGGGGCCGGAGCCGGGGGCCCCCGCCGCGACGCCCCGGCTGCAGTTGGCCCGGGCCAGGCGCTGCGCATCGCCCGAGCGCAGGAAGGCCAGCGCCGCCGCCGAGCCCTCGGCGTCCCCCGACGGCCCCGGCTCCGACGTGGGCACCCAGGGGGGTGGCGAGGCCGGGGGCCGCTGTGCCCCCCCCAGGAGCAGCACAGCGTGCAGCCACCAGAGCAGCGGCCACCACCACGGCCCCATGGCCAGGCTCAGCGCAGCCCCCCGGCACCCCAGCGGCCGGCCCGGGGGGGGCATGGTGGGCACAGCGCCCGAGCCGGCCGGGAGCCCGCTGGGCTGCGCTGAGCCGCTCTCCGCCGCCTGTTTTCCTCCCTCCACAGACGTCACCGGCTCCAAACCGCGCTCAGCCGCTGGCGCTGCCCGCACGGAGCCCCCCCGCCCGCCCCCGCCTGCCTCCGGTCCTGGCCTCCGCTGTGGGGAGCCCCCGGCCGGCCCCGGGACCCCGCTCCCCGGCCCCTCGGGCTGCCCGTGATGCAAGCGCATCCCGACGGGCAGCCATGGCAACCGTGCTGCGAGCATCCGCATCCACATCCCGCAGCCGCATCCTGCACCCCGCGGCTCCCGGGGGTCCCAGGGGTCGGTGCTGCAGCGCCCCAGGCCCCGGGGAGGGGGCTGGGGTTGGGCTCCCACCGGCAGGAAACCCAAAGTCCCTGTTGTGGGGCAGGGAGGGAAATGGGGGCACACGGGGGGCCCAGTGGGGCAGGGGGTGCTGTGCACCCAGAGCTGCCCCTTGCTCCCCACTCCCCAATTTTGGGGTGTCCCTGGGTGCCACGCAGCACTGCCTGCCAATGGGGGGAAACTGAGGCACAGGAGGCTGGTGCAAAGCAAGGGGGGGGGGGGGGCTGCTCCCTGGCCTCCAGGCAGGCGCACGGGAGCTGCTCCCGGTTCTGCTCATCTGGGGGGGGGCTGCCCCGGGTGCCTGCAGGAGCCGTGCAGGAGCCGCACAGCGGCTGTGCAAAGGACGTGCAGCAGCTGTGCAAGGGGCATGCAGGAGCTGTGCAAGAGCTGTGCAAAAGCTGTGCAGGAGCCATGCAGAGTGTGCAGAGCTGTGCAGGAGCTGTGTGAGTGCTGTGTAGGAGCCGTGCATGAGCCATGCATGAGCTGTGAAGGAGGCATGCAGGAGCCATGCAGCAGCCATGCAAAAGTGGTGCAGCATCCGTGCAAGTGCCGTGCAGGAGCCGTGCAGGAGCCGTGCAAAAACTGTGTAGAAGCCATGCATGGGCTGTGCAGAGCCATGCAGCAGGCATGCAGCAGGCGTGCAGCAGGCATGCAGGAGCCGTGCAGAGCTGCACAGAGCAATGCAGCCCGATGCAGCCCCGTGCATTGCCGTGCCTCCCGGTGCCCCCCGGTGCCTCCCGGTGCCCCCCTCCCGATCCTTTCCGCTCCCGCCTCCACCCCCCAGTTCCCGCCGCGCCCGCACGTGCCGTGGGCGCGAGGGGGGCGTGGCCTCCCCGCGATGGGCGTGGCTTCGGAGGGCAGGGGGCGTGGCCGGCGGCGGAAGTGCGGGGGCGGGGCGGCGGCGGCCGTCGCCGGGGCGGAGGGAGGGGCGGCGGCGGCGGCAGCGGGGGGGGGCTCCCGCTGCGGGCCGGGCCATGCGGCGGCCGTAGCGATGCAGCGGGCGGAACTGCGGGACGGGGAGGCGGCGGCGGCGGCCGCGGCCTCGTACCGGGTGCTCAGCCGCCTGCTGGGCTATGGGGCCGCACCGGAGGCGGGCGCGGTGGCGGCGGGCGGCGGCGGCGCCGTTACCGGCGGGGCGGGCGCGGGGCCCACGGGCCCCGGCGGGGGGCGGCTGCCGCTGCCTCTGCCCCTCCCCGCCGCGGCGGCGGCGCTGCCGGGCGGCGGGGCGCTGCGGGGCCCCCGTCCGCCGCCGCAGCTGATGGTGTTCCGCAACGCGGCCGAGGGGCGGCCCGGCGAACCGGAGGACGGCGGCCCCGCGGCGGGCGGCGGCGGCGGAGAGGGCCCGGCGGCGGCCGGCACCGAGCTGCTGTGCCCGCGGCACCGCTGCGCCCTGGAGCCCAAAGCGGCGGCGGCGGCGGCGGCTGCGGGGCGCTGGGGGCCGCCGGGGGGGCTGGAGCTGCAGCTGGCGGCGCTGGGGCTGCGGCCACCGGGGCTCGGCCCCAAGGGTCCCGGGGGGTGCCCGTGCCTCGGGCCGCCGCCACCCGCCGGCCCCGCCGCCGAGGAGACGAGCGATGCGCTGCTGGTGCTCGAGGCGCTGGAGCCCGACGAGGCCGGCAGCGGCTCCGAGGAGGAGGCGGGGAGCCCCGACGGGCAGGAGCCGCCGCGCGGAGCCGCCCGCGCCAACGGGAGGAGCGGGACCGGACCCGGTGCCAGCCTCGGTCCCGGTGCCGGTGCCGGTCCCGGCCCCGTGCTGCCGCCGCCCGGGGCAGGCTGCAGGAAGGGCTCGCTGCGGGTCCGCCTCCGCCGCCTCTTCCGCACCAAGAGCTGCAGCGGAGGCTCGGCCGCCGGGGACGCCGCCGCCGCCACCGGGAGCCGCCGGGCCGGGGACCTGCCCGCCTCGGCCGGGAGCCTGACCGATGTGTGCGGGGCCCGCGGCCGCGAGCAGGAGGCGGGCAGGTACGGGACGGGACGGGACGGGATGGGATGGGATGGGACGGGACGGGGGGGGCACCGATGGGGGTAATGGGGGGGGCACCGGGAAGCGGCCGCCCCCGGTCTGCCACCGGCTGCGGGACCGGGGAGGTCGGGGGGGGGTCTCCCGGGGGGCGCGGGATGCTTCAGGCTGGGGGAGCAGCACCGGGCAGACTGCTGAGGGGGGTGCAGGTGTGGGGGGCCCGGCCTGGGGGGCCTCCACCCCCGGTAAATGCACCCCAAGAGCGGCCTCTGGGGATGCTGAGCCACAATCTGGGGGCTCCCGGTGCCAGCCCCCGTTCCCTGCTGGGTTCCTGAGGGGCACGAGCCCGGCATTTGGGCTCTGGCCTTGGTGCTGTGCAGGGTGGGACCCGAGGAGGTGCTGGGGGGCCTGATCCTGGCACCCCTGTGTGGGGCTGGCTGCACTGTGGGGCTTTCCATCAGCCTCTTGCTCGGCTTCCAGCTGCACGGCTCAGAGGCCGCAGCATTGGTCCAGCCTGGGCTTTGAAAGCTGCCCTTTGCCGGTGGCTCCCGTTCCCCCGAGAGGCTGGCACGGGAGGGCACGGCGGAGCCACCGGGTTCGTGGGCTCCGGCAGCAGCTGGCCCTGCACAGGGCGCTGAGCCTGGCACCGCCAGCACCGCCTGCAGCAGCGTCTCCGTCCCGTGGCTGCTTTTAGCAGCTGCCCCCTGCGTCTCGAGGCGCTGGGGTCAGTGTGGGTCCTGGATCACGTTGGTCTGAGTCGTTCACGCTGCTGTGTGAGCCTGGCTGTGCTGTGCTCCCAGTTCCAGCCTGGTGGCACCAAGGGGAGCGTTTCTGCAGAGGCCGTGAGCTGCTGGATGCCAACAGGAGAGGGCGAGGTGCCCTGGTGCTGTGCCAGCCCCGGCTGTGCTGCAGAGCCTGCTGCACCTCCGAGGGCCTCAAACTCCTCGCAGGAGGCAGGGAGAACCCTGCTGGGGCCTGGCTGCCTGCTTCTGGCCGGCCTGGAAGCAGCATTAAAGAACTGGATGGCCCCGGAGCGCTGTGGGGCTCCCAGGCAGCATCCCTCCAGGGTGGGCACGAAGCCCCTGCCAGGCTGGGCCCCGAGCTCCGGTCTGTGCCCACCGGGTGCTTTGGCCGTGAAGCTGTCATGGGGGGCAATGAGGCTGAAATTTCCCCCGTTGCAGCAGGGGAGGTGGCTTCCGAGGCGGGACAGCCCCAACTGCAGCGGCCCCTGGCCCGCAGCTGCTCGGAGCATCCGAGTGTGACCTCGTGGCAGGGTGCCGGAGTTTTGGGCACGGCTTCGTTTCCCACGACCAACCCAACGTGCCTCCACCAGCAGCGTGCCAGCTCGCCTGTAGTGACAGTGTTCTGCTAACGCACTTGTGGTTTTGTCACTCCTCACTCGTCTTGGTGACAAGAGCGAGGAGCCCGCAGGACTTCCCCGTGGTGGGCTGCTGGCTGCGTCTCCTCGCAGAGCAGGAGAGAACCGTGGCCCTGCCTGGGCTTTCCCTTTTGCCGGGGAGTTTCATGGTCACTGCTGGGGGAAGTGCTGACTTCTCACGCTCCAGCGTCGTGGAACTGCTGTGCTAATTAGGATTTGAACAGAGGTTAGTTCAAGGTGCCTGCTGCAGCTGTTGTGGTTCGGGGACTTCTCCGCTGCCTCCAGCTTTGGGAGCCCCCTCGTGCTGAAGAGGCACGGGTGATGTGAGCGATGCTTTGTGTTCTGTGGGGTGCTGGTGGGCCCTGGTGCTCGGTGTTGGCCGTCCCCTGCCCGTTAACGGGAACGGGGTCAGCCAGGAGCTGTCCGTGCCGCTGAGCGTGTGGCTCCCCCCTGGGTGCTGCTGGTGAATATTGCTCTTGGCCTGCAGTGGATTTATTCTGGCTGTGCCTGGACATCACAGAACCAGCTCCCGGTGTGTGGAGCTGCATCCCGTAACGCCAGGCCTCGAGGCAGCACCGGGCAGCTCTGCCTCCCTCCTGCACACACGACTCAAAGCAAACCGGCCCCGGCTGGGCTCTGAGGTGTGAGCATTTTCACGGATGCAGCCTTGAAATCCTTACACTCTGGGAGAGAAGCCTCACATTCCACGTTTCATTTCCAAGCCGTTTTGGTAACGGTGGGGTGCCGGCATTGCTCCTTCCCCTCTGCTTTAGGACGTGGGAGCAGAGCAGCTGCTGTATTACAGGGTTTGCTGCTGCTGGCCCGCAGCGTGGCTTCGTGTCTGGCTGGTGAGTGGTGAATTGCTCCCCTTTGAGGGCAAAAAACCAGCCCTGGAGTAGGTGCGAGAGGCTTGGCATGGAAACGCTTCCAGGCACTTCAGTGGGGTTTTGTGTATCGAGGCGCTGAGTTCTCTCAGCTCGTCTCGTGGCAGTCCTGCAGCGTTGGTTGTTTGCTCACAGCTGAGTGACCTGGAGACATTGCTGGAGAAGCACTCGGGGTGCCCTGCGAAGGGTCGGGGCGCACCCACCCATGGAGCAATCCTTCTGAGCGGGGTTTTTGGGTTGAGATAGCAGAGGTTGGACAGCTCCTGTCTCGTTTTTGGTTTGTGAGGCCAGTGTTCCCCTGCTCGCCCGAGCTGTGGGGCCGTGCCCCCAGCAGCATTCCCTCTGCCTAGGTCTGTACAAAGCCCTTTGGTGCTGCAAGGGCTGGTCCCCTGCGTGGGGACAGCACGGGGGTAGCTGCAGCCTCGCTATAAAATCTGTTTTGGGAAGGAAGCTCCGGAGGAATTGTGGTTGTTCTCGGATGCCCATCGGCCTTCTCAGCCGTTCCCATCCCCTTTGATGCTCCAGGCCCAGTTTCCCGGCCCTCTGCCGCCTCCTGGCAGGTTTTGGGGAGGTGGCATCCTGCAGACACCACGCGAGGGCATTCGGTGTGCCGGCCGTGGGCACAGCCCGGGATTGCGCAGGGCCCCGACCTGTTTGTCTGAGAGGTTTGGCAATGCCTGGTCCAGAGGCACGGTGAGGAGCCTGTTGTGAAACAGCCGCTTGGCTCCGGTTACGATACTTGCTTGGGGTTTTTCTTTCCAAAGGCTTTATTAATTACCTAGTTAAGAGATTTGCTTAGTGGCAGGACGGAGACCTAGCTTTACTGGTTGTCTGTCCTACTTAAGCCAGCGCGCTGCTCCAGGAGCCGAGCGAGCAGGCGGCGTTGGGCTGCCTCGATCCCCGGTAAATCCTGGTGAAGGCTCTCCCAGCCTGGGAGATCAAACGGCGTTTTTTCTTTTTTTGGGATGCACCGAGCCTCCCCATCCCTATTCATGATGTTTTTTTTTTTCTTATTTCCCACAGGAAACACAGACTGACAAGAACTCAAAGTGCCTTTTCCCCGGTTGTTTTCAGCCCCCTCTTCACAGGTAAGGATTGGAGACGTGTACGGTTGGGTCTCGCTGCCCCTCTCCTCCCCTCCTAAGCCGTGACCCTGGGGGCAGCCCCGGTGTCCTGTGTGGCCTCAAACCTGACCCAGGAGTAAGCTGCAGAGGACGGGGATGTTTCACATCAGCACTTTGCAGTTTCTCCTGTGGAGACGTGGGTCTGAGCTGTGCCGGAGGCGAGGCTCCTTCCTTCACGGGGGTGTTTTACTCCGGTGGTTTGGGGGCTCCCTGCGGGGCCGGGGCTGTGCCCGTGCGCCCCTCCTGTGGTCCGAGGGGAGCCAGCAGCTGCGGGGCTGAAACCGCCCGGTGGGGCAGCAGCTCCCCAGCAGCTGCCGCTCTCTGCCCGCTTCCTGCTGGTTTCTGGCCTTCCTCTTTCTGCTGGGGGAAGCTGGCTGCTTTATAAATGGCACGAGGGGGAAGTCCTGCTCTGCTGGCGGCTGATACCGAGAGCCTGCTGCTCACAGTCATGTGCCTGGGGCTTTCTCAGTGAGAGCTCCCCAGCTGTGGGGCTCGGGTCCTCCGTGGGTGCCTTAAAACCCGCGGAGAGCAGGGCTGGGGGCACGAAGGAGGTGTCACAGAGCTCAGGAACAAAGTGAACGCGTGTCGAGGGGCTTGCTGCAGGGCTCAGGGCTTGCAGGTTCTCGTGGCTCCTTCAGCCCTGCAGGGATGGGGTCGTCGGGGGGCGATGGGGCTGTGCCGGTGCCGTCCTCATCCCCGTTCTGGTAGCAGGGCAGCGTGGGGAGGCTGCTCCCTGCGAGATGTGACTGGTTCTGTGTGTGCCACACGTGTGTGTTCAGCAAATCCAGGCTGGTGGAAGCAGAAGCTGCTCCCGGCACCGTCAGCTGTCGCTAGGGGAAGCTGCGGGCAGGGATCTGCGGCTCTCGTGCCTCCTGCTGACGGCGCTCCGTGGCCGTGCGTGCTGAGCGTCCCGGCTTCAAAGGAATATTTAACAGAGGGGAGAGCGTGGGGTGGGCAAGTTCCTGCTCTAAATCTGGGAGGCTGCTTTAATTGCTAGCTTATCCCATTAAATGTTCTTAAAATGGCTCGTGTCAGTTTTTGCAAGCCGGTGGAGTGGTGGCGGTGTCCTCCAGGAGCTGTTCCTGTGCCAGCATCCCCAGAGCGAACGTGTCTGCTCTGTCACCGCTTTCATTTGTTGGTGACTTCGGCCTTACCCAGCTGAGGTCTGCGTGTTGAGGATTTCTGAGGCTGGGGCTGCAAAAAGACTCAGCTTGCTTGGGGTTCCTGGTGACTTGCTTCCAGGTCAGCGCGAGGGCTGAGCTGGGGCTGGCAGAGGTCCTTGGGGAAGCTGTCCCTGCCTCCAGTGACCCCTTCTCGGGTGTGCTGGGCTGCAGGGGCACGTGGCTGCCATCGCTGCTGCTCTGGGAAGGGTTTGAAAGCCGGGCTGCTGCAGCCCCCTTGGTCTCATCACACTTTGTTTGTGCAAGGCGAGGCGCCCAGCCTACGTGGCCGCTTTATTGGTAGGGCGTGGAAATGAAAGGCTGGCTGCGTGCGTGTGCACCCACACCCATCGCTCCCCCAGGGAGACGGTGCCGTGGATAATAACCAGGCCTAAATACCCCTCGTAACGCTGCTCATTAGCAGATAGGCCTTCCACAGGCAGGGGGGAGCTGAGTCAGTGCTGCCCTGCGCGACAAATACCCGGAGGTGCTGACCGAGGGGCCGGGGAAGGGTTTCCATCTGGAGCAGATTTGGGGCTCTGAACCCAGGAGTTGAAGTCTGACAGTCCCTGGGACCGTGGTTCAGGTGTGTGTGGTGCTCTGGTGTTGGTTCGTGACAGCTGGGTTCGATTTTGGTATTTTGGAAAGTTCCTTGGCGGTGCTAACCCCGCTCAGTCCTCTCCCCAGGGGTTAGCTGGTTTCCTTCTGGTTCTGTGTTTGATGCTGATGGTTTAACCTTGATTTCATGGCTTCGTTTTTCTCCCATGAATTCAGATTAATTTTAGGCTTTGTTGGTTTATGCTGGACATCTCGGTTTGTGTCGTCCTTTTCCCAGAAGTGAATTAATTCCAACTGGAATTAACAGGAGCGTTATCCCCTAGCTGCGTGCCAGCAGGGTAGGGCAGTCGATCCATTTCCCAAGAATTACACCAAGTATAGAATTATAGAATTACACCAAGTGCCAGCCCTGTACGTCGGTGATGAGCGCTGCAGGAGCTCGGTGCTTCCCCATCGCCTGCTGCACCTGGATCTGTGTCCGTCGCTCCCTTACTGCTCGTGGGCAGGGTCCCAGCCCCTTCCCCTCTCCCCCCGTGTGCCCGGGAGGTGCAGCACTGACAGTCTTGCTCTGCCAACCTGCAGGTGAAACGGTGTCACTGGTGGACGTGGACATCTCCCAGCGAGGACTGACCTCCCCTCACCCTCCAACGCCGCCGCCTCCTCCACGACGAAGCCTCAGCCTGCTAGGTACGGCCCTGTGCCTCTCGAGAGCCCGTCCGTGTGTCTGTCCAGGAGCACGGGAGCTGTCTGTCTGCCCGTGCTGCTCCCCCTGCCCCAGCAGGATTTCTTGCTGCTGCTGCTGGTGCTGGTGTTTCTTGGAGATGGGGCAGGAGGGGAGGGTTGTGGTGGAGCCGTGCGAGGTGGGACGTGAGGTGCTGGTGTCGCAGTGTCTCCTGCCCATAAAAACATCCCTACCTCCATCCTTCCCTCCCTCCCTCCCATTGCCTGCCCTGGCTGGTTCCCTCCCCTGCCTCTGTGGAAGGGAGGCTTTGGGGAGGACGGTGCCAGGAGCTGCTCTGTGGAGGAGGCTCCCCTCTGAGCTTAGCACCAGTCAGCCTCGGTGAGGTGAGCAGCACCCGAGCGCACATCCCATGTGCTAGGGCAGCGTTGTGCCTGTGGAGCCGTCTGTAAATGCTGTCCTGTGCTGCTGCCTGGAGGGAGCTGGGCTGGGGAAATAACTCCTCCTCTCCAGGTGTGTGCACAAACCTCTGAGGTGCTGAGGATGGGGTCCCTTTGGCACCGCAGCGGTGCCCTGCTCTCAGGAGCTGGCGGAGCACTGTGAGCTCTCCAAGAAGAGCTCCATCTTCTGCTCCAGGCTGTGCTCGGTGCTGGTTTGCTCAGCAGTGCAGGGCTCGCTCGCTTTCTGTTTTCTGAATGTCTCTCGCCTCTGTTCTCTCCTAGATGATATCAGTGGGACGCTGCCTACATCTGTCCTAGTGGGTCCGATGGGGTCTTCCCTGCAGTCTTTCCCTCTGCCTCCGCCTCCTCCACCCCATGCCCCAGGTCAGCTTAGCTTTAGCAGCAAGGCTTTGGTTCTCCAGGGATTTGGACTTTGCAGCTCTCCTTGGTAAACTTTAAGGCTGCACTTCAGACTCTAACAGCAGCGGTGCTGCCTGCTCAGGGACACGCGGTGCTACTGACGGTGTGCCATTGTGGCAAGGCTCTGCTTTCCTGGCCTTGCTCCTTTGTTTGCTGTGTGCTGTGGCTCTTTTGTTGCCCCCCGGTCGTTTTCCTGAAGCTTGTAATCGCGCCAGCTTTATTCTCAGTTCAGCACCTCCCATTTTCTCTGCTTCTTCTTGGGCTCAGCAGAAGCACAGCCCCTGGCTGTGGACGGGTCCCTGTGCCTTGGTGTCGGCAGTGTCAGGCAGCAGCTGTAGGAGCAGGGCTTAGCTCAGGAGCCCAGACTCTAACCAGCACGTGAGGATGTTCCTTACGCAACTCCCCTTTGGTTTTCAGTTTCCTGCCCTTCAGGACCCACGGGGCTTTAATTGCCCCCTTGTTATGAGCTAAGGTGTTGGGATGGGTTAATTCCTTCCAGCTGGTGCCACCTGGCACTTCCCCCGGCTTCCCTCCAAGCTGGCTGAAGGAAATAGGTGAGGGCTCCGAGTGAGTCACCTTGGAAGAGCCAGGTGGTGACTGCTGCCGTGTCCTTCACGAGGACGCTGTCCTCCTGTCCATCAGTCCTGCCTCCTCAGCTCCTGCCCTGCCCTCTGGAGCCGGGCGTGCCGGGGGATGGGGCGGCTCGGTTTTGGGGTGAGCTCCCGAGGGGTGACCGTGTCCCCGGCCGTTTCTCCCTCTGCAGACGCCTTCCCCCGGATCGTGCCCCTCCGGCCCATGGAGACGGCGCCCAGCCAGCCCGCCCCCCACCTCCAGTGCCCCCTGTACCGGCCGGACTCGAGCAGCTTCGCAGCCAGCTTGCGGGAGCTGGAGAAGGTAACGTCCTGGTGGGGGGTGCTGGCAGCACAGCACCTCGGGAGGGGGAGGCTGCAGGTCTAGGCTGTGGTTTTGGGGGCTGGCCAGGAACAGAAGTTTAAGGCAGGGCCAGAAAACACCACCTGCCTTTTTCCCAGTGAGGTCTTTGAGTTTAGGGCAGCATCCTTCATGTGTGGAAGAGCTGCCATGGTCACATCTGTTCTTGCACTGCTTCTGGGTGCTGGATGTGATGTCGCTCCTGGATGAGAAAGCACCGAGTCCTAACCATCCGTTTTCCTGCTGAATGGAACCAGAAACTTAAATTTTGGGATTAAAAGTGAACTAACGATAACAAATAGTGCAGTTTTCGGTTGGTGATGCAGTCCTCCTTGCTCGTATTCTGCTGACGTTCCGTGTCTCGCTTCCGCAGTGCGGGTGGTACTGGGGGCCCATGAACTGGGAGGACGCGGAGATGAAGCTGAAAGGGAAGCCGGATGGGTCCTTCCTGGTCCGAGACAGCTCTGATCCCCGCTACATCCTGAGCCTCAGCTTTCGGTCGCAGGGCATCACCCACCACACCCGGATGGAGCACTACAGAGGTAAGGGCCCCGGGGAGCTCTGGGGGGGGTCGGTGGCTGTGGGCAGCCTGGTCTCAAGGTCCCAAATCTCTGCCCAAAGCATTGATGCAGCAGAAAAGAGGGAGCAGCAGCAGCGTGTCCTCACTCTGTGTCCTGCATTTAACCCTGCTGTCTGTGCCTTGGACACAAGTTTCCTTAAAGCTATGAAAAATTGGGGAATAGAGGAGTTCCCCACGCCTCTTTGGAAAAGTGAGCTTGAAGGGAATGGAGATGGGGAGCTCTGAGATGCCCCATCAGCAAGATGTGATGTAGCAGGGGCCATCGTTTGCAGCTGTCCGATTCCCCAAACGGAGCTGGTTTCCCTGTGAGATGAGAGGGAATCTGACCCCACAGCTCGGCACCTTGCTTTGTTCTGCGGGGGGGGACGCTCGGCAGCGGTGCCAGCTGCCCTCGGAGCAAGGCGAAAGTTTCAGCTCTGCTGCTGTGGGCGTTTGTTCTGAGAACCTTGTGGTGTTTGCGCCCTTTCTTCCTGCCATGTGCTGTCAGTGCATGGGGTCTGTCTCACCTCGCCCACATGCTTTTTCTGCTCATCTTCAGATGTGGTTTTCCGTATCGAACCCCAGCGCAGGCAGCTGCCCTCGGGCCGAGCAAAAAAGCCTGAGAAGGCTCAGCAGGGGTGGGGGGAAGGCATCGTCAGGGCTCTGGACCTGCCCTGTACCCAGTGGGCAGGCTGTAATAACAGCTGCCTGCAGAGCACTGTCATTAGGTGTGCTGCCAAATGATGGGTTCTGCGGCTTCCCAGGCAGCTGCTGGAGCAAACAGGGGTTTGTGACCTTTCGGGGCAAAGCTCCCCTGTTTCCCCTTTTTGCCCTCGCTCTGGGGGTGTCGCTGTGTCACCCCCCTCCGTGAGCACTGCTAGAGCTGATCGACCCAGCAGAGGTTCTGGTTTTGAGCCCCTCTGGTGGGAAGGTGCCCCAGCCTTAATTGTAGCCTGTCTGGAGCTGGTTGCCCTGACCATTGCGTAAGGAGGGCTGACTTTCATCACCCTGTCCTTGGGGAACCTGTAAGCAGCACTTCCAGACGGGGGAGATGTGAGGTCGGCTGCACAGAGGATGCTTGCTCATAACTGAGCTTCAGATCCAACTGCTGCTGCCGCCGTTCCTTGCTTTGGGGCTGGGGTGCTTGTTCTCAGAGCTCCCTTAGCCAGGTGTCCTTCCCTCCTTCCCCTCAAACTGCATTTTTTGCTGCACGTGGTGAAGGCTGGTGCTGCCACCATCCCCCCAGCAGCGTTTCCAGCCGTGGCACTGCATCAAGAACTTCATTCCTGGGTCCAGTGCTTCTGTCTGTGTCCATGGCTCTGTGCTCGCCCTGGGCTGGCTGCCTTGTGCTGAATGCACTGCAGCAGCGTGCAGAGCTCTGATAAACCATGGAGATGACAAATGGTGGGGCTGAGGGAATGGTAAAGAGATAAATGCTTGACCTTCAGGTTTCAGATACTTGAGAGGAAGAAAACATAATTCTTTTTTTTTTTTTTTTGAGAGCTGAGTAGGCAGGCGGGGAGGCTGGTGTTTGTGCAATAACCCCCCAGTGATTGTCCTTTGCATCTACTTGCCACTTGTAAGGGCTGATTCAGATCAGAGATTGCTGCTGCCTGAATGTTTAGCAGGTGCTGACCTGGAGCAGCAGTGCCTCCTGCGTCAGGTGGCGGTGCCAGCCGGGCTGCAGCTCTTAGGGGCTGTCACCTGGCCTTTAACACACCAGTCCCACCAGTAAGTACCTCTTCCTGCCGCCGGTGCTCCTGTAACGTGAAACCCTTCTGTTCTCTTGGAAGGGACCTTCAGCCTGTGGTGCCATCCCAAGTTCGAGGACCGCTGCCAGTCTGTGGTGGAGTTCATAAAGAGAGCGATCATGCACTCCAAAAACGGGAAGTTTCTTTACTTCCTGCGATCCAGGGTCCCAGGTGAGTGTCCCGATGGGTCTGGGGATGACTCTTGCTCTGTGGTTAGCTGCTGGCAGTGTGCTGGAGACATCTTGGTTCAGCTTTTGTCTACTCCATCCCTCAGCTGCTTGGCTAGTACAAAAAAAAGCTGCTCTCCTCTGCCAGTTACTTGGCTACTAAAGCCCAGCTGCCTTCCCTCCCCCAGTCTCGGGGCTGCTTTGCTGAGAACCCTCCCCGTGCTTTGCAGCTTCCCAGTTCTCCCTTTGCTGAGACCCACCTGGGGCTGCCGAGAGGAGAGGCATTAACTGGGGTGTGTGGGAGCACTTCCAAGAGGAGCTAAATGGGAGCCTCGAGTGGTGGATGCTGTGAGGTTCAGGGTCCCCGGGGGGACCGTGGTGCCAGGGCACATCCACAGGCAGGTGCCTGCAAGCACGGGGGAGCGTTGGGAAGCTTTGCTGGAGCACGTTTGATTGCGTGATGCTGGGATTGCAGAGTGCTTCTTCTCCCATCCAGCAAAGCCTGGGCCTGAATGGGCTCACATCTGCCTCCTGCGAGAGCCAGGCTGGCAACTGGGTCAGCGTCTTCATCAATTTTTTTTTTCTGGTTTTTGACTCAGCTGTCATTGCGTGTCAGAAAGCTAGCTGAAAATCCAGTGTGAAGGAAAGGGGAGAGCCTGCCAAGTGAACAAATATGCCCCTTGCTTGGGAGGGAGCAGGAGCTGCAGGGAGGGTGGGAGGTGATGCTTGAGCAGAGCCCCAGAGCAGGAAGGGGAACGCGGCTGCGGTGAAGCAGAGGGGCAGGACCGGGCTGGGATGTTCCTGGCTTCAGAATGGCTCTGGCTCGCCCTCGGGATCGGAGCAGAGCTGGAGTCGTGGCCCAGACCTGTTCAGTGTTGCCCCCTGCTGCAGAGGTGGCCGATAGCTGGAAGCTGACCTGTAACGTGGCCGTGCTTTCGGGGAGAAGAAGGCTGCGAAGCTACTGCTGCCGTGTGTCCTGCCTCCAAGGGATTCCTTCAACTTTAAAATACAAAACCACTTCACCTTCCCAATCCGCAGCCCTGCTCCCCTTGGGAACAGAGCTTTGTGGACTCGCCAGCTCTACAGGCAAATGCCTTCGCAGAAAGGATTTGCTCTAGAAAATGTCTTTCAAAGAGGAAAAGGAGCCCCTGAGCTGCGCCCTGCACCTGATGGAGGGTCCCTTGCCACCGGGGGGTCCCTCGCTGCCTGGTGCCAGCCCCACTCCTGCTCCTGCGCCCCTCTGTCCGCGTGCGGCCGCGGTCCTGGGCGCTGCTCGGGGCTGCTTTGCCTCGATGCCTGCTCTTTAGTGGGAGAATATTTAGGATCTGCAGCTCCCCGGCATTCTCGTTTGTGCTGTGCTCCTGCTGAAGTGCTGCTGGCCTCCCGGAGGAGGGGGATGTTTCCAGCGAGCTCCTGGCGCTGGGGCACGCGGCCAGCACAGCGTGCAGAGCTCGTGCTGCGGCCCTGTCGCTGCTGGCTGCGCTCCCGGAGGCTGATTCCTTTTTGGTAGAATAAGGGGGGGGGGGGAACCCGGCCTTCAATTGATTCCTGTTCTTTGCTTTCTCAAAAGCTGGCTCACAGCTTCCTGAGCTGCCTGGAGCAGTTCTGAGCCCATCTTAGTGTGAAGAGCTTTCCCTTTTCTCCTTTCACTCGGTTGCCCTCAGAGACAGGCCAGCAGGAGGGGGTTAGAGTGTAACTAGCTCTGAATCCTTCTGTAAAGACAGATAAAACCTTACCCTGTGAATGAGCCCGGCTCCCGTAGATCCTTTCTGGTGCTCCTGCTGACCTCTCGGTTCTGCGGGCTTGATTGTTGCTCTTAACTCGGGGGGAGGAGGTTGTGGGGCGGGGGGCAGCTGGATGCAGCCCCTTTTCAGCCGTGCCGGGCTGCTCCCTGCGTGGGGAGCTGGCTCTGCTGGGGCTGCTCCCGCCTCTGCCTTTGTGCCCAGCCTCGTGACCCCAAGAATGAGCAACTCCTGCACAGCTTGAGCTGTCCAAACCCCCGGCCTTTCAGTGCCTCCATACAGCTCCCCAAAGGGCTGCGCAGAGCAAAGCGGACATGCCGGTCACGCTGCCTGCCTTTCCCTTTGGCTTTCTTCTCACCGCTGGTCCTGGGGGAGAGGAGGTTAGGGGTTGGCAGTGTCCTGGATCCCTGGTGGCTGCAGGAGCCCTGTGAGGAGAGCTGGAGGGAGCTGCTGCAGCCTGGTGAGGGAGGCTGGAGGTAGCTCGTGGTATCGCCCGTGTTCGGCCAGTGCTGAGCTGCCTGGGCACAGCCTCGCAGAGCTGCGGCTCCCCGGGACCAGCGCTTCCTTTGGGGACCGGTTACGGTTTGTATCTGACACAACTCTTCTCCAATATCGCTTTCTTCCCAAAGGTCTCCCCCCGACACCCGTCCAGCTCCTGTATCCAGTCTCCAGGTTCAGCAACGTCAAATCCCTTCAGCACCTTTGCCGCTTTCGGATCCGGCAGCTGGTCCGGATCGACCACATCCCCGAGCTGCCGCTGCCCAAGTAAGTCCTGAGGATTTTGGGGAGAAGTTGCTTTGGCTTCATCTGCCACTCATCATGGCAGGCAGGAGACCTCTGTGTCAGCAGCAGGGGCTCTGGGAGGGAGCAGTTGGTGCTTTTGGCCTCGGGTCAGCAGGATGAAGGTGTTACAGCCACTGCCAGGAGCGTGGGCTCTGGTTCCTGCTGGGGGAGAGGCTCTGCTCCCCCCTTTGCAGAGGCTGGCGTGGCCGTGGCTCGGGGCTGAAGCTCCTGCCCTGCCTTCCCCAGGCCCCTGATCTCCTACATCCGCAAGTTTTACTACTACGACCCCCAGGAGGAGGTGTACCTGTCGCTGAAGGAAGCCCAGCTCATCTCCAAACAGAAGCAGGAGGCCGAATCCTCCACGTAGCGAGGCCGGCGGGCCCCTCGTGTTGCTGTCACTGATGGTACGTGTGTGCTGCTGGTCCCGCGGGGCGCGGCCTCAACCAGGCCGCTCCCTCTGACTGCGAAGGAAAAGGCAAAATCCTCCCTGAGGAGGCTGTCTGCTCCCACCAGCCGCCTTCTTTTACTTCTGGGGAGACGAGCAAGGCTTCTGCCGCTTGCTTGTGCCTGTTTTGTGCCTTCACAGGCCTGTGAAGCCAAACCCCAGGGGTCTGGGACAGATTCGGCCCCATCGGGCGGGCTGCTTGATGCCTTTCCTCTCTCTCTCCCCCGCCAGGAATTTGGTTGTTGCCATCCAGAAGCCCAAGTCAGGCAGTGGTGGGGACGAGGCCCGTGAAGGTGAAGCCTGCTTCTGCGGTGTGACTTCTGCTCTCAAGCTCTTTCATCAAGAGAAGAGGGCTCAAGACTCCTAAGAAGCACAGCAGAAGGGGACCGAGGGTCTCGGCTCCTGGCTGAGGGCGAGGGGGCCTCGGAGGCAGCTGAGCCCAGCTCGCGGACTCCTGGCAGAACAAAGAATGTCGCGGCACTCTGTACGAGCTGTGGAAAGTTTTATTTTTGATGTCTTCATTTTTATTTTTATTTTTTAATTTCGGTTTATTTTCAGCATGAGAAACACTGTCTTATGATCAGCTGAATTTTATTATCCTCCCTTGGAAACTTCGAGGTGAGGAGAGAGAAGGGGACTCTCTGGGAAGATCGCCTGCTCTGGGCACTGTGTTGGGACTGCTCTGCGGAGGGGAGGCAGCTGGAGCCAGGACCTCAGCAGTTCCCCAGAGCAGCCTCAGGGGAGCACGGGGCACGGCTCCCCTGCTCCCTGCCATCTGGAGAAGAGGGCCAGGCCTCGTCCCGGGCAGCCGGGCTTTGCAGGATGGCCTTAAATAAAGCTGGGCCCAAGGAAGGAAAAGCCCACGAGCCATTCGGATGTCCTGGAGCCTTCTGCCACACGGCGTGGCCGCTGCTGCAGCGGGGAGCGAGGGCTGCCCCTTGGGGGGGGTGGCGGCGTTCCCCTCGACAAACACTGGAAGATTTCACTGGAAGGTGGCAGGGCTGTCGCTGGGACCTCGGCAGCAGCCCGTGGACCGAAGGTACCTGCCGGAGTGATCCCGGGACATGCACTTTGAGCCTCTCTGCTGGCTGTCTCTAGAAGCTGTGAATGAAGTGGCTTTCTACTGAGGTGTGGAGGGTCCCCATGGGTGGCTGCTGGGGCATGGAGGTCTCTGGGGTGACTCGGAGCAAGGAGCAGCTGAGGGTTCTTCTGAGGGTTCTTCTGGAGCTCGCTGCTTCCCCTTCCTGGGATGTCCGTGGAGCCACAGCAGCTCAGGACCAGGACACCGGGAGGGACGGCAGCTCGTGCTGAGCTGCTGGGCTTAGCTCTGGCTGCAGCACCCGCATCCCTCTCGGTCCTGCTCTGTTTCATCCATCGCAGCAGCTGCAAAGAGTTTGCATTTCCTGGTGAAGTTTAAAGCTTGCCCGAAGCGATGCTGAGGATTCTCGAAGGATCTTTTCTCCTGCGTTGAAACCAGCCCGTGTTCTGGGGTGACAGAAACGCCCCCGTCCCACAACCACGATGCTGTGTGTGGCCTGGGTCTGCGGATGGGGTCAGTGCCCCGTGAGCTGGATGCGGTTGTTCGGGAGCTGCTGGGACTTTGTTCTCGCCCTGTGGAATGATCGATGTCCTTGAATTAGGCACAGTCCTGTGGATCTTAAAGCAGCCTTGAAAAAATCCCGATTGTCTGCCTATGCCAAGTGCTGCTGCGAAGGGTGCTAACTAATCCTGCTCTCCCTTTCTGAACCACCACCTCTGGCCTCGCTTTCAGTCTTGGATAAAAAAAAAAAAAAAGTTTTTTACAAGATTTGGCTTCCAGATGAAACCAATAATCTTCAAAATCTGTAGACATACCTCACTGGACACTACCCGCTGCTGGTTGTGTTGTGTCGTCGGGTATCAGGACGGGGTGGCCGCCCCACAAGGTGCTGGCGTTCGTCCCCCTGCAGCCCTTGCTGCGTCCCCCCCCCGTAGCCCCCCAGCTCCTTCCAAGCCATCGGCCTGCAGAAGGTGCAGCTGCTCCGACCAACGCACAGCACAACGGGGGGAGGCAGCCGTGGCCTTGTGCAAGGGAAACCTGACCATCAGAGCCCCGAATATCAGCTCACCCGGCCCTGCTGCCCCTCAGCTGCCACCAGGCTGAGGGTTTGGATCTTCCAACTTACCCGAATGCTGGAACAGAAAATCCTCCCCACAGCCACGGCTGGGCTGATGCCTCAAGTGTCTTACGCTGCACCCACAAAGCAGGAGTGCGCCCCATGCAAAGGTCTGCAAGGCTTCCACCCCCCCAAAGGAGACCCCAGAGATGAGGACATGAGGGCATGGGGTCGGTGATGTTCTCCTGGCTGTGACCTCCTGGCCAGCAGCGTGGCCTGGGGGAGCTGTGACTGTCCCCTTGTCACAGGCTGGCATCTCCCAGGCGTGGCGGTGGCAGCATTTTCGTTCCATCTCTGGTCTGGTTTGGGGGGAGTGGGCATTGCTGGTGCAATAACGGCTGGGTTTGGGAAGGGGAATGGCCAGACTGGGGGAGCAGCAGCACTGGGATGGGGCATGGGGCCGGCTGTGCCCTCAATGGGGACAAAAACGCACAAACCTGCTCTGCAGTGGCAGCAGGGTGGGACAGCCCCCGTGTCCATCAGGAGCTCCGTGACACCCCTGTCCCTAAAACATCCCGGCTGTGGGGCAGCTGCTGGGTGCTGCCCGGCTGTGCTGCTGCGCCTGTCCTCGTGCCAGGGCGCTGTTTGCCTGGCACTTCTCAGCTCAGCATCGATCTCCTTTCGCGGCCAAAGGAAGGGGAAGAAGAGGTCAGCGTGGTTTGTCTGGGCAGCCTCGTGCCCCCCGTGCTGCTGGGGGGGGAGCAGAAGGGGGCCGAGCACCCAGAAACCTCCTCCTGCCCCCCCGGGCACGCGGCACCTTACATATTTACATATCGATCCCAATTTAAACCCCAGAGATTTTCTCATGGAAGTGTTTTCTGTGTGAGCACGTGCAGGGAGGCAGCGAGCTGGGGGCAGTGCGAGGCTGTGCCCCCCCCAGGAGGCTTGGTGATGCTCAGGGGACCCCTTTTTGGGGAGCCCTTTGGGGGCTCCCCAGCAGCAGGACCCCCAAGGGGCACCTTCCAGCCTTTGGCCTCATTCCGTGCAGTTAACATCCGACACCTGCATGGATTTACACAGAGCCCAAGGCTGAGCCTGCCCCTTGGGGGGCCGGGTGCCCACCCCCAGCCTTTACCTGGGAAATAAATCCCTGGTGGAAGCTGGGGGGGGCTCCCAGGTGGAAACGGAGCCGGGGGCAGGAGCAAAGGGCAGCGAGCAGCAGGGCCGGGGGGCTCCGACCGGGCACCGCCTCCCATAGAAATGCAGCTTTGCTTAATTTTCTTTTGATTTTTATTTTATTTTGTGTGTGTGTGTGCTTAATTTATTAAAATAGTTGCTGTATAATTTATTTTCATAAACTATATTAAAAAAAAAAGTTACTAAATGGTTAAAAAAAAAAAAAAGAACAGACTTGCAGGCCAATCTTTCAGAAGAAGAAATGTTTTTTGATATAACACGCCGAATGCACTTTGGGTGCGTTTGGTTATTTTTGGGGGCGGGGGGGGGGGAAGCCTGGCTGTACTGGGGGCTGTCTGTAAATATTGTGTTCATAGGCATGTTGGGCATCCCGTGGGGAAGCTGGGGTGAAGCTCCCAGGTTTTGTAAGCGGGCAGTGGGGGAGCGCTGCCCTCGGTGTTTGTAACTCCTTTTTAGCATCGTTTTGAGCCCTGGTTTTTTGTTTTTTTGGTTTGGGGGGGGCGGGAAGGGAGAGAGCGGGGGCTTGAAATAAAACGATTGGAAATTGTTCGGTGCTGTGTGGTGCCTCGAGCCCGACTTGGGGGTCCCTGGGGGGGGAAATTGGGGCTGTCTGGGGGTGGGGGGGGCACCTGCAGGATGGGGACCCCGTGCCCACCCCCCCTCAGCCCGGTGTCGGGGCGCTTTGAACGCCCCCGCGCTGCCGATCAAAGGCTCGGAGAGACAGAATGGGGCTGGGGGGGGCGGGGGGAGCCCCCCCGAGGCTGGGGCTGGGGCTGATGAGGGGGGGGGAAATCCCGGAGGGGGGAGTCTAATGGGGACAACGGGCGGCGGGGGGGGGCTGGCAGCGGGGACCCCCCCCCAACCCGCTCCGCCCAAGCCGGGAGGGGTTGCAGTGGGGTGAGATGCGGAGGGGGGGGGGGGCGGGGGTCGCCCTCCGGGGCTGCAGACGGGGAAGCCCCGGGCCGGGGGGGTCGCGGCGGGGCCCCCACAAGGCGCCTTTGTGCGGCGGCCCCCGGCTGGCAGCGCCCCAACATGGCTCCTTGGCAGCCGCCGGCGGCCCCCGCACAAAGCCGCGTTCTTCTGCACGCCCCCCCCCGGGCTCGGCGGGGCCGGGGGTCCTGGGGGGCCCGGAGGAGGTCTGGGGGGGGTCGGAGGGGGGGGTCCGAGCCCGGCTGAGCATCCCCCGGGGCCGCCTCCCGGAGGGCAGGGGGGGCCCGGGAGGGAAACTGAGGCCGGGGGGGGCCGGGCCGGGGGCGGGGGGGCCCTGGCGGGGCTCTGGGGCCGCGAACCCCCCGCCCATGGGGGCGCAGCCGGGCCGGGGGGGGGCAGCGCCGCCAGCATCCCCCCCACCCCACCCCGAGCATCCCCCCCCGGGCACCCGTGGGCGTCCCGAGGGAGCTGGGGGAGGATGGAGGGGTCGGGGGGGATGAGGGGTGGGAGGGGGGGGCTGAATTGGGTGGGGGGCGGCTGGAGGGATGGATGGAGGGCTGGGGGGGGGGGGGGCGTGATGGGGAGGGGCAGGGAGGATGCGGGCGGCGTGATGGAGGCGAGGATGAGCGCACGGCGGGGGCTGGGGAGGGGGGGGTGGGATGCGGGGGGGGGGGGTCGGGTGGCGGCGGGGCCCCGGGTGGGGCCGGGCGCGGCCCCCTCCCGCCGCCGCTCGGAGCTGACGCCGCTCCCGGGATGCGCCGGGCGGCGCCGGGCGTGGGCGGCGGCGGCGAGAGGCGGCGGCGGCGGCGGGGCCGCACCGGGGCGCACCGGGAGCGGCACCGGCACCGGGAGCGGCTCCGGGAGCAGCCCATGGCCCCCGGCCCCCCCGCCGCGGCCGTGCCCTGAGCGGCCCCCATGGAGCAGGTAGGAGCCGGGGGAGGGGGCCGCACCCATGGGCGCGGTGCCGGTCCTGGTGGGGGGGGGGGGGTCCCGGTCCGAGGCTTTTTTCCTCAGCAGCCCCCCCCCCTCTCCTTCCCCGGGCCCCCACCTGCTGCCCGGCATCGCTGCCCGAGACCCCCAGCCTGCGGCTCCCCCTGTGCCCCCCGCCCACCTCCCTGCCTGCTCTGCCCAGAGCAGCCCCCCCACCCCATCAGCAGCCCCCGGACCCCTGCGTCCCCCCCCCCCGGCACCTCCATCCCCTTGTCCCACCCCTGCCCCGCTGCCCGCAGCGCTTCCCCCGGCTGTGGCACGGGAACGCTCGGGTGGGAGCTCCCCGGGCACCCATGGGTGCTCGCCCTGGCCGGGTGCTTGCCCCTGGGGGGGTTTCTGGCTCCTCACCTGATGCGGGCGGCCGGGGGGACGCCCCCTGCCCTGCCACAGGTCTCCTGCATGGCCCCAGGTGTTTCCCGGTAGCACAACGGGAGGATGCGAGCAGCAGGATTTGGGGAGGGGGCCCCTGCCTGGGGCTGTGGGGTACAGAAAAAGCACGGGGGGCTCTGATGGGGCTGTGTTGGTGTTCCCGTGTCTGCCAGCCCCGTTATTTACCAGCCAACGCCTCTGGAAGCCGTCCTGGCCATCGTGCTGGGATGCTGCATCCATCCCCGGTGCCCACCCTGGGCTGTGGGTGCTCGCGGTGTCCCCGTGGGGGCTCTGGGGTCTTTCCCATCCCGGCCCCCCCCAGAGGGGTTATTCTCCACTGAGCGTCTCCCGGCCCCGCTGTTGCACACCATGGTGAGGGTCTCCCACTCCCTCCCTGCAGCCCCTCAGGCTCTGCCTCCCATTTTTGCCCCCAGCACCATCCTCCTGGCTCAGCCCAGATCCAACCCTTCAATGCTGCTGTGCCCCCCCCCCCAGAGCAGGAGGCCCTGGGGCCACACCGAGTGGTCCAACACGAGGCACCCTCAGTGCCCGGCCAGCTTTTGTTGCACGTTGGGGGCCGCGTGCTTATGACCCCCCCCCAAGCCTGGGGCAGGTCCACGGGCAGGAGAGGCGGGGAAGCGCGCGGGCACGTGCGTGGCGTGGGCGAGTGCCTGCTGCTGCCTTCGCCAGCCCGGCCGGACCCCAGGACCTCGCTCGCACCCGCCCCGCCGCAGCAGCCAACGCCAACGTGCGCCCGGCACGCGATGCCCTGAGCCCCAGAGGGGGCTGCATCCTCCGGGGGGCTGCGAGCCCTGCACCCCCACCCCGGGGTGTGCTCTCCCCATGGAGAATCCCCCCTCGCGCACCTCCAGCTGCAATGCAGAGGAGCTGCCGAGCAGCAGCCCCGCACGCCTCCCTCGCCGCCCTGATTGGCAGCGGCACCGTGGTAATTTTAGGCTGCGATCAGCAGCGGCTTGGCACGTGCCTGCCGGCACCCAGGCAGGGAGGGCAGCGGCCGGCGGGGCAGCTCCGTCCATCCCCTCTCCCACCGGCTGCCATGGGCCTGGGGCAGTGCCGGGGCCCGGGGCTCTCCGGGGTACCCCGGCTCCCCGCAGGATTTCGGCCCCTCCCTGGCATTGGGGATGTGGATGCAATCCTGCACCGCCCCGCCTCGCTCTGCCTCGCCACCCGGCTTCCACGCGCCTCCATCCATCGCTCGCAGCCTCTTGTTTGTCCCCGACCTGGAGGTGGGCGGTGGGGACGGAGCCGTGGGGGCCGTAACCCTTTCGCTGCGTCGCCGCCGGCTCAAGATGGCTTCGTGCAGCAGCGGCTGCCACGGGGGGAGAGGAGCTCCCGGCCGGGAGGTGCCCGTGTGGGGCCAGTGGGGTCCGTGTGGGACCCAGCCCCACGGAGGCACCCAGCGCCCAGCCTGCGCTGCCCCCCTGGGACGTGTCCCTGTCCCCAGCCCCGCTGCTGTGGGCTTGGGGGGGAGCTGGGGGCCAAGGGATTTGCCAGCGCCGTGCCCAGCCCCAGCCACACCAGCAGCGCGCCCGTGCCCTGCGGTTGCTTTTCTTCATTTTAATTCATGGGATTAGGTTAAAAAAATATCGCCCAGCTGTGATTCCCCTCTCCTTCCCTTTGTCTGCAGCGCGTAAGCGGCTCCGCAGGGAGCGGCAGCGTGTTCTGGGGGGGGCGGGGGGGGGGTCGCTCTCGCCGGGTTTTGGAGCCCGGTTCTCCAGATGCTGGGATCTGGGCTGCGGGTGGGGGCCGGGGGGGGATTAGAGGCACGGGCGGATCCGCCCCGATGAACCGGGCAGGCGGCAACAGCGAGGGAGGAGGGCATCTGCCTTGGTGGCTGGGGCCAGAACGGGGACTTTTGGGGCGTATCGTGGTCAAATGGGGTGCGGGGTGGGCAGCGCTGACAGCTCCAGGCTTGGGGGTGCCCTCGGGGGTGGTGTGTGCAGCCCCCTCCCTGCAGATGGGGTCGCGGTGCTGGGGGAGACAAAGAGGGCTGGCGGGGGGGGCATCAGCTGGGTGGGGGCGCGGTGGCGCTCCCCTGCAACCCACCTGGAAATGCCAGGAGCAGGGCTGGTGTTTGGGGAACCTCTGAGCCCCCCAGGCTGTGCGCCCCAGAATGGGGCCACCCCTCATTGGGGGGGGCTGTGTCTCCCTGGGGGCCCTCCCCTGTCTCTGAGCCCGAGCAGGGCGGTGGGGGGGGGGGGTCACACCCCCTGCCCTGGCAAGGGTACGTGGGGTTCCTGGGGTCTGCGTCCAAGTCCTGTTGGCAGCACATCCCCTGTGCTGGGCTCCTGGCTGTGGGGGTCACCGGGGGGGGTCCGTGGGCAGGATTTGGCCTTGTTTCCTGGGGGCAGGACCCCTGGGATGGAAAGTGGGGGCAGGCAGCGGGTGGGCGGGCACGGCCGGGGGCTGCCCCCTCCGTCCCGCGGGCCAGCTGCTGGGTAGGGCCGCAGATGGAGTCGGGTCGGTGCCCGGTGCCAGCCCAGCCCAGAGGAGAGGTTTCCTGGAGGGTCCCTGGGGAGAGGCCGCGGGGCTGGAGAGCCCTGCCCAGCATCCAGCCGTCCCCCCTGGCTGTGAGATGGGTCCCGAGGCGCTGTCCCCTCCTGGCTCCTGGGGGCTCTCCGTGCTGCAGGCCCGGCAGTGGGGGTCCCGCTGCGTCACGGCTCACCCAGGACCCCCTGCCCACACCACAGCCGGACACAGGCCGTGCTCCGGGGTCACTGCCGCGCTTCTGGAGCTGGCACGCACCCCTCAAACGCTGTCTGTGTCCCTGGGGGCTGGGACTGGACCCCTGGAGGGTCCCCCCAGACACCCATTGGCACCTCGTGGCGCTGTGGCTG